AGAATAGAATAGAATAGAATAGAATAGAATAGAATAGAATAGAATAGTTTATTGGCCAAGTGTGATTGGACACACAAGGAATTTGTCTTGGTGTAAATACTCTCAGTATACATAAAGAAAAGGTACATTTATTAAGAATCAAGAATCATAACGTACAACACTTAATGATAGTCATAGGGTACAATCAACAATCAAATCAGACTAGGAAACAGTCAATATAAATCGTAAGGATACAAGCAACAAAGTTACAGTCCTACAATCACAAGTGGGAGGGGATGGGTGATAAGGAGTGATGAGAAGACAAACAGTAATAGTAGTGTACACTTTGTAAATAGTTGAACAGTATTGAGGGAATTATTTGTTTAGCAGAGTGATGGCTTTCGGGGAAAAACTGTTCTTGTGTCTAGTTGTTGTGGTGTGCAATGCTCTATAGTGTCGTTTTGAGAGAAGGAGTTGAAACAGTTTATGTCCAGGATGTGAGGCGTCTGTAAATATTTTCACAGCCCTCTTTTTGACTCGTGCAGTATACAAGTCCTCAATTGAAGGCAGGTGGGTAGTAATTGTTTTTTCTGCAGTCCTAATTACCCTCTGAAGTCTGTGTCTGTCCTGTTGGGTTGCAGAACCAAACCAGACAGTTATAGAGGTGCAGATGATAGACTCAATCATTCCTCTGTAGAACTGTATCAGCAGCTCCTTGGGCAATTTGAGCTTTCTGAGTTGGCGCAGAAAGAACATTCTTTGTTGTGCTTTTTTGATGACATTTTTGATGTTAAGTATCCATTTTAGGTCATGTGATATAGTAGAACCTAGAAATTTGAAGGTCTCTACTGTTGATACTGTGTTGTCTAGTATTGTAAGAGGTGGTAGTATGGGAGGGTTTCTTCTAAAGTCTACCACCATTTCTACGGTTTTGAGTGTGTTCAGTTCCAGATTGTTCCGTTACACCACGAGGCAAGTTGTATAACCTCCTGTCAGTATGCAGATTCATCGTTGTATTGAATGAGACCAATCACTGTTGTATCATCAGCAAACTTCAGTATTTTAACAGATGGATCGTTTGAGATGCAGTCATTGGTATATAGGGAGAAGAGAAGTGGAGATAGCACACAGCCTTGGGGGGGCCCTGTGCTGATTGTACATGTATCGGATGTGATTCCGCCTAGCTTCAAATTACAAAGCTGTGATTTCCTGCTGTTTGTTCAAAAAAAAAAAAAGCAATGGGGGAGGTGGTATGAATAGGTTTTTAACACACTTGAAAAGTGTAAAGAAAAAAAACACCCTCAATCACCAAAGGCATGAAACCCCTGGGCCCGCCTGTGGAAGAACAGGCTGCTTTGAAAAATTTAGGTATTTGTGCTGTTTTCCTCCCTTCCTATTTGAGTCTTTTTTTTCCCCTCAGCACAGGAGAGTTGCCCATAAAGAGTTGCCTATAAAAGGTGCAACCTTGAAGCAGGTGTGGGAGAAGATACGTGTTTTGGAAGCTCTGCAGCCACCAGCAGAGAAAAACAGCTGAATAAAAGAAGGCATTTTTCCCTTCAAAGGGAGTGGATGGTCCAGAAGAAAAGGAAGGATGGAGGCACAACAAAGCACAATCTGGAAAGAGGCAAGTATCAAAAAAAATCAGAAGAAATCCCAGAGAGGAATTAAGGCAGAAGGCGGAACAGGATTTCTAAGAAGAAAACACAGCTAATATAAGAAAGAGAAAATGAAAGCATACAATGGTTATACTGTAGTATAGAGGAAATAGTGTAATGGTGATTGATTGTATTATAATAGAGTACAATAATTATTATAGTAATAGTAATTAGCTTGGTAATGTAGAAATAATAGCAATAGAATATAAGATAGAGACAATGGAAAGTACTTGCATTCACTTTTATATCTTTTTGTTGTTGTTCAAAATAAAACTTCTCCCCAAACTTTATTATATACACAGATATAAAAACCCTGTTTTTCAGGCTCTAATACTTTTTCTGCTTCTTTTGAATCCTGGTCAATCTAATTGGGTACAGTTTAAAACAGAACCTGCCCTTTGCTGTGGCACAGCCATTTTGCCATCGTGACAAAGCAGTTTGAAGCTGTGCTAGCTGAAGGAAAAGCCTTTTTACTCAGTCCTGCTTATTGATGGCATTCGCAATTTATTTTTTATTTTTTTAAAATTTATCAACTTTATTGAATACAAAAAATTAAAATATACAAATATACAGACTCAAAAAACAAAGATTCATACAGACAAATGTTACCATAATCTCTGTGGTAAAACTA